TTGACCCCTAACATCCCGAGCACAAAGTATGACACTAATCCCGCAGCCCTACTTGAAGCTTATGGTGCAGCGCTCTAGTAACTCTTTTTGCGAAGGCCATTTGATCTTGACGTCCTTGTTTAGTGTTAAGTGGTTCCACTACGAACGAGTTCTTTCTAGGCTTCTTTCTCTTGCCTGCCTCCCCTCTTTGGGAGCTTCGTTGATTGACAGTATCCCTTGCGGAGGTCGGATTGACACTATCCCTACGGGGAACAAGATTGCCGCTACGCCCTTCGGGGGCCTGATTGCCAGTACCCCCTTTGGGGGGCATGATTGCCAATATCCCCTTCGGGGGTCGGATTGCCATTATCCCCTTCGGGAGCCAGATTGCCTTTAACGCAACAATATCCCCGCACATTACAAAGATGGCTCTTGAACTCAATATCGCCCCACCTCCCTTGACGTTTTGCCCCTGCCCCTCTTTCGGGTTTGCTAGGTTCTTTGTGCTCCGAGCTAGCTTTTGCTTCCCTCCTTTTGTCCTTCATGGCCAGCCAGGGAAAGCTTCCAGAGCAGGCCAGCAATGCCTGCGCCTCTTCCCGCGAGCCCTTTCGAAAGCAGGTTGCGATACCCTACTAGTTTGCCGAAACACCCAGAACCATTTTCCGGAGGGGCTCCGCTCTCTACACGTCCAAAGCAGGGCACGCTTTCGCCCTTTCGAGAAAACAAAGGAATCGACTCCAGCACGCCGTAAACGGCAATACTTGGTGTGGGATTTGTAATTGCTCACTCATAGACAGGTCGTTTGAGTATATGCCATCATATTTTCATTCCTGGCCTATTACTCTCAAAAACGGGATGATGATTCATAAATTCGTTTATTGTCAGGCACATGTGTCGCTGTGGTTTGTAGAAGAGGACGTCGCCAATACCAGGTATTTTATGGCACAAAAGCCCGCAATCTATACACGCATCTCTGTGCTGCGAGAGCCGCCAGCGGCACGCCGGGGGGCCACGGTCAGCCCAAGAATTGTTTGCGCAACCTCTTCGCGCTCCACGGCGCGTACAACAGACAACAGATAACTCAGGCTAGTGGTCACGAATCTCGCTGTGCGTCAGGGGGAAGAACACACCAACAGCTACGTTCCACTAACGCTATGCTTCGCCGGCAATCTCAATATCAGCTTAACCGCGCGCAATCTAGACGCGACTACCGTAAATGGATCCAAGACGTGCTGGGGGATGGAAAATTTACCCTAGTCACGCCCGGCTCCCCCTGAAAAGGGTAACGAATAGCTCTTTGCAAATTCAACGCGCTTTTCCGCGCAAGTCCCTCTCTCCCACCTCGGGCTCCAGAGCCGATCTGTTCAAGAGATATGTTCAGCGCTCTTGCCTGGACCTTCCCCAGCGGACACTCCCACTCAGACCAGAGAAAAACGAGCTACATGTCATCACCTTCAACATAGAAACCCTTACAGGACATGCCAAGCACGATCCGTTAGCTATGTTCGCTAGGCGCCATTCTGTTGATATAATCGCGCTCCAAGAAACAAAGTCGCAATCCGGAGCTAAGGCCCAAGGGTGGCCGCCTTCTGCTTTCTGGAACCCCGCAAGAGCGCATGGCCGGGGTCGGCTTTAACGTCGCTCCCACCAGTGTCCCACTCATCTCTGATTTTCTCCCCTACTCAGGCCGTTTGGCAACTTCTCCAGACCCACCTAGTGTCGGTTTACGCGCCTTGTCAACTCTCTGACGTTGCCCGAGACGCTGCTCGCAAGGAGTCTTTTTGGTCCTCCTTACAGCACCTCCACGATCTCCTTCCTAAGCCTGCGCTCATAATATACCTGGGCGATTTTAATGCCCGTATTCACGAGTGTGATCTTCTTGACCCCTAGGACTTCATTGGACCAGTGACCTTTCCATCGCCAGGCTCCCCAGACTCTACTTTTCAGTCCAACTTCGAGATGCTTACGGAGTTCCTTGCCAACAATGAATTTTTACTCGCATCTTCATTCCATACTCGCCCAGCCTCTAAACGAATTACTTACCGCGAAATAGCCTCTGAATCCTCCGCTGATCCACTCACACCAACCCCGCTTAATTTCTCATGCTTAGAACATATCCTGACTCACAGACACCATTTACACAATCTACCTGCCATTTCTTCGCAAGTTAAATGGAATCTTCCCTGGTTCCATCGACACTACCCACTTTATGTTAAAATCACTTTCGATGCATTTGCCAAGCCTGCAGACCCTCCCGCCCCAAAAATTCAGCCCCCAGCCACGACAGAGGACAAGCGCGAGTTTCGCGCGAGTTTCTTGAGGGCGCTCGCCCCCATACTAGGAACGCAGTCCATGCTCCAACACGATCAGATCCCGGGAGCCACGGACGTGTATACAGATGGCTCTTGCCCAGACCAATACCACGTAGCTGTAGGAAACCCGGCAGGTTGGGCGTTCACCTTTCAGGACGCACGCGCCCATCTGGACTCGTGTGGGCCAGTAGGCCTCAACCTACCCCAAGCACCCGTCGGTTCCAACAACTCAGGTGAACTACAAGCAATTCTCGAAGCATTGGATTATGTTCTTCGGCACCGAACTTATCACTCCATCTCGTCACTCAACATTTTCACAGATTCCCAATTCGCTCTTGACCTCATACATGGTTTATCCACCACCACAGAACATACGTATCTACTATCACTCATTCATAAAACTCTCGATCTCTTACTCCCCCAGATGCCCATATCAATTTTGAAAATAAAGGGCCACTCCGGGCAACAAGGCAATGACCGTGCTGACTCCCTTGCTAGTAGAGGAGTTTCTACTGATGCACAAAGGGGCAGACACGCCCCGCCCATTCGACCACTAGTAGTGGAAAACGCCACAGCGCCGGCTCCTGCCGCCTTCCTGGACCTCACTTTAGCCGAGCAGGCAGGAGCCTTACAACGTGCGGCAATTGCCGCCGCGCCCCCCCCAACTCTACCAACGCAGTACAAGCGTTCCTATCTCTCTAACAAGACCAAACGTCTCATAGACATTGTTCACTCAACCCCCCCTTCGGAGCATGAAACACTAAAAAGGCTGCGAAAAATCATTAAGCGTCGAGCCAGGAAGGAAAAACGACAACACACCTGTGACAACCTACTACAAGATTCAACCGGTCCACCCTCCAAACAGTGGTCCACTCTACGTTTCTTGCGCAAGTCATACAATCCCAAAACAAAAGGCGTACGTAAGCCCAATGGCCGTATGTCCACCTCCACAGAGACACCGCAGGTTTTTGCGAATCATCTATCCACTAACGTATGGAGCCACATCCCTACTCCTCCCCTTCCTAGTACCTTACTATTTCCCCCGGCCCTTCTTGACCTTTCTCCTTTCGATGACCAAGACCTTCAGCGCGCGTTGTCGCGCTTGAAACACCGCAAAGCCGCAGGGCCTGACGGTGTCCCAGCTGAGCTCTGGAAGTTTGCCCCACGATCAGTACATATAGCATTACTCGCGCACTTCAACAAAGCCTTCAAGGAAGAAGCCCCGGCTCAAGTGAATCTTTTCTTGTTGTGTGTTGATTGGGGGCCACAGAGTCCTCATCGCTCTTTCTCTGTAGCTCTGTAGCTGCTTGCCATGGTTGCAAAACTCCAAATGCATTTCTCTCGATTGTACACATGGAGAATGGTTGTGAGTTTACTTTTGCTCTATGTTACCTTGGCTTATGCGGCTCCAGGGAAGACAGCAGTGGGGGACAACCCGGGTAGGCGGACACCGCACCCGGGAGGACATAACAATGTGCCGAACACTTTCAGCACTCCCGTCACGGAACAGCTTGCGGCACCCATCCCGCTGATCTGCCCGGGAGACACATCTACGGCACTTACGTCACACACTTGCCAAGATGCTACGTTACCAGACACACAGCCTTCCACCGAACATGCCCTGCCCACGCAGACTGCACCTATGGTCACTTTTCATGTTCAAGGGGCGCTGCATGCCTTGACAGCCATATGCTGGATTCACTTCTCCGGTGAGGGGCGGGCACTGTCGGAGCAAGATTTCCATTCTGCACTTCGGAACACTGCACGGCAAATACCGGCGCAAACTGTCCTTTTCACGATCCGCGCGGTGCTGACACAACGGGGAGGGACAGATAGAGCCGCAGACTTAGCGCAGTTCATGGAGCACATCGCCACAATACTGCAATCTGATCAACGGCCGGAGAACGCGACCAGGCGGGATGAGCTTACAGAATGCAGTAGCTGTTGGGCCGCTCTGCATTTGTACTTTTACCCAATGTGGCTGCAGGATCTCGCAAAATCCCTGAGCGCTGAGGAGAGCGATAATGGCCTATATGATGGAGTTGCATACATGGATGTTGCTGTACGAGAGACACATTGCAGTGACATGAAGGGTTGCTTTTTCAGACAGCAAAAACCCAGGCCCTTGCTGCGTGCTTGCATGACAATCTCCATCTTGTGGCCTCGAGCTTTGTCTTCACCCCATGCATATCCGCCAGCCTTTCTCGAATCATGCGTCGTTTCTGAACCATACATGGGGGCGGGTCGATACTCGCCATGGAACAGGCCGGGGTCAGCGGACACCGCTACTCTGCTTGCACTGTGTAATACATCTCAGAATGGGCTAATGTATGCTCACAGCAGCACGTGCTTCTTGCACCGGAGGCCACCGAGAACTGCGACCGGTACCGAGTGCCGAGAGAACATGCTGATTGGTTGTTCGCATTGGCATTTGCATGGAAGTCTCCTGAACCCAGATGTCGCAGGTACTATGCCGAAAAGGCTCGCACCAGCGACGGGCACCACTGCAGGACCGCCGAGAGCTGCCGTCATACACGCTAGTGCCTTGAGTCAGACTTGCGCTCTGCTTGTGTCTAGCCACCCATTCGCCCAGTCCGCACCCGCGTGCACAGACACTCAATACAATCCGTTTCGAAGCTCTGGTTCAAAAGAGCGCTATTGTGTGTTGTGCCATCTCGGTCACTCTCGGCTACAGGGGAATCCCCCATCATGGCAGAGGAGGACGAAAGCAGCCCCGAGGGGGCGCATCAGCCAATCGATGAGGAGGACGATGACGCCGATGGCACCATGCGGGAGATCATGGAGACACCTACCTCGCGGAGATCTCGGACACGGACTAGGTCCCCGGTGGCGGCAAGATCTTCCTCGGCAAAGGCCAGCGGCAGTGCAGCCAAGGCAAGCGGTGTGGGAGGCACTACCATCGACTCCAGCACGGTGGCAAAGGCCAAAACCACGGCGACTGGTGCGGAGACGACAACGAGTGGGCCGGCAGTGCTGCCAAAAACCATGGGAGCTGCACCGAGCTGTGGGGTGCTGCAACAGGGGATCTACACCGTGGTCTGGGACCCCAACACCAACGTCAGGGTGGGCCAAGCAGGCCAGGCGATGCGAGCACTCCAGCTGAGTGGGATTGACCAGCATGGATCGATGCTCTTTGCTCCTTGCTTTCCTGTATCGTGCCAGCTGAAGCCAAGAGAGCGACAGTGGGCTGCCTCCCAGGGATTGCGCACCTCCGTGTCAAAACAAGACCACCGATTGCAGATCAGTCTCACGATACTAAGCTACACCACGCAACTACACCCCCGCCAGTGTGCTCGCAGGAAGATATCAAATCATCAGTCCCGACCTTGGTGGCCGCCTCCATACACAGAGACAACCACTTCGGCTGTCCATCAGTGTGCACCCTTGATTACTCAGGCTGGGGATGTGCGGCCCACCGAGCCGGACTCCACGATGGATAAGAACAGGCCCGCCATGCCTGCTCACATGTGTGCCCAGTTGCCTGCCAGAGATTGCATCCTTCCGAGATCAGACAGCATACCACCGAACCCTCTGCAGATTCCACTCAAGCCGGCCCATCCCTGTGATAGCTTCACAAGCGTCAATGGGGAAATCGCCTGCTGCGAAGGCACGTTCAGCGACGAGGCCACCTACGAGGTTTCGCAGCCCGGCACGGACACCTGCCTGGGAATATCCCGAGCCGATCGAGGAGTGGCAGCCGCTGCCATATGATGAGCTCCGACAATGGTACCAAAGCCACTGGAATCGGCGACAGAACAGGCCACCATGGAAGCCTCGTACATAGACCTCCTATGGCAAGTCATCCAGCTCGAGCAGTACGTGGAGACGAGTGCCGCCTCAGCCACCCGTGCCTGACAGACGTGGGACGGGCTACTACGAGAAGGACCTGGAGGGCGAAGCAGGCCTGCCCGTTCGCAACCCGGACTCGGAGCCCAAGGTGGCGGATCCCAAACGAGCAGGGACAGAAGCATCGTCATCATCGACACCCAGGAGCAAGGAGGGCTCCGTGAAGGTGGACCAGGCACCAAGCATGGAGATGGCGATGGGCGAAGAGGAGAGTGACCTCCTCGTGGACAAGATGATCCAACTCGCGAAGGCCACGGCGACACGGTTTGGGGTCACCAGCGAACAGCTGTTGGACGCCGTGCAGCTGACCTGGCTCCCAGCACTGGAGCAAAAGCTTTGGCGGACTACGGAGACATGCCTCTTGTGCTCACACAGTCCTGGCAACCTGCGGGAATGGCAGCAACATTTGCTCACCAAATCCCACTCCCGGATCGCCAATGAGGCCAAGATGACGTGGTACCACCTCTACTTGGTCATGAGCATCCACGATGATAGAATGCACCCCGGTCTCCCTATATCCATCGCTTTTGCTGTAAGTACATCTTTTGAAACATGTTGTGAGTGCCGTGCACCCTCGCCCATACCACCATCAGGCGCCGCCAAACAGGGAAACCAGCATCGCAAGCCAGTTCGAATGAGCCCAGCCTTGTGTCACAGAATGCGGCTCTGCTTTTCGAGCAGCTGGTTGAAGACCTCCATAAGGCGCAATGACGCCCAGTTTGGGGCTCCCCTTGGGGGGCGTGCTCGCCAAATGCGTGAGGTACCTGGAGCACCAGACCTCCCCACCGTGCATCCGTTGTCAACGCTGAACCCTGCGCACTTGGATAAACAGCCTTGCCACACACAAGGGGGGCCCAGAATGCACAATAGCAGCCACGACTTCCAGCCACGAGTAGCTCCTAGTCCTGACAGGTCGCGATGGAGAACGCACCGATGGAAAATACGGACACGGCATCGCAGGCCGAGGGCAAGCGGTACCTTCTTGCCATTGCTTGTGTGCTTTTGGTCCCATACCTGTTGATGGATGCATTCCCATGGCTCACTCGTGAAGTCGTTATGCAAACACACCTTCAAGGCCACCCTCCAACCTGTCTGGAGTACTTTGGGGGGCCAGACGTGCGTTGCCAGAAATTCATGGTTGCAGGCACCCCCAATTCTGGTCCCCAAACTTGCTCCATTTCGCACTTTTGGAAACTGCATTGAGAGAACCAACACACACAACACAGAGACACACGATACAGGACAACCGACGACCGCAAGAACCGACGGACCCACAAAGAAACATGCCAAGTCACCAACCGAGTTGAACGAAAGAAAAGCCAAAATGCCAAAAAAACCAATAATGGACCCAAGGCCAACTGAGAACCAAGACCGGTTCAACTTGAATGACAAGAAACAAACCAGGAAACCCAATTGACCAGAAGCTGAGGGACCACCACAACTTACAACAAGGGAAAAGGACAGACTGAGCTCCAAGCACAACAACTTTGGAATCTGTTGGAACAGATCCGACCAGCAACATCTAAGGAACATGAACACAAACAAGCAAAACACAAAAAAAACAACCACAATCAACAGACCCAGAACTCAAGACCGGACACTTGGAAGACCAAGAGGCCAACCGAGATTGACCAGACTGAAGAGAGAAAGATCCAAGCGACTTAAGGCAGCCTCTTCACTCCATCAGCAGCTGAATAGAACAAGGCAAGACTTAGAGTAAGGATAAAAATCAGCACCAAGACCACCGAAAAAGACACAGAACCAACAGGACCGATCCAGCGACTCTAGAGACTCAAAGACTCCAAAAACAAATTTTTGAACCAAAAGAGTCTTAAGGACCACTTTAATAACCTGACTTTGAACCAAGAAAACACCAAGGGGTGTCTTGCACCATTTCAAGTCCAGATCGAGCCCAAAGATGTCTCAACACTACTTGGGCAGAAAAACAAAAAACCCAAAACCGGGTGTCTTAAGACCACTTTGATACTTTGAACCATGGAGTGCTTGGACTTGCAGAGAGATCCAAGAAATTCTGCAGATGTTTTTTGAGCTTGCCAGAAAGTTGCAATAGTTGGTCTCCAAAAGTCACCTTGAAATTATTTATCAAAAAAAGTAAGTTGAAAAAAAAAACAGCACAAGCAAAACCTGACAATCAACAAAAGTAAGACAATCCAAATGTAAAACCATCAAAAACAAGCTCTGACAACAAAACACATGTCAGATGTACTCCGTTGTTTCGCTCGCTTCGCTCGCACTTATTCACATTGTGGAAAGACACTTTGCCTTTTCAAAACGGTTCGGTTTGGGCGTCGCGCGCAACATGGACGTCTCAGCAGTACAGTTGAACTCGTCTCGTCCTGCAGTTGATTTCTGTCCAAACGGCACTGTCAGAGGCTTTCAAAAACGCTTGTTTCAAGCAATTTCAAATCGCGGACTTGGGAGGTCAAGAGGAGCTTTTCACGGAGAAGACGCGCTTCCTGACCATTGTTCAAAGCACTTCTAAACGATGGAGTGTTGGAAGATTTGCCGGATTCCTTGGCCATTGTTTCAAGCTGCTTTTTTCATCATCTTCAAAGATGTTTGAAAGCCACTGGAACGCACCTCTTTTTGCTTTTCAGCAACCGAATCTGAGCATCGAGGTCGTGCCAGGAAAGGGGGCCTGGGGGTCCTAGTTTAGGGGGTCCATTTGGCCCGCAAAATTAACTACACCCCTCCAGCCCCCCACAGTTGCAGCCGCAACCAGCAGCAACAAGGACAACAATTCACGGGCTGCGAACACACAGACCACCTCCACAAGAGAATCTACTTCAGCTCAACACGACAGCTGTCGTTGCAGGCGTGCTGTCTGTGGACAAAAATGGAGCAGCAATTCCCTAAAATTGGGGGGCCCGAAAACAGGGCCCAAAAAAGCTTCCAAAATTGGACCTACTTGTGGCAGAAAGAGAGGAGGTCTTTTCATTGTTTTACATGCTTGGGTCCCAAATTATGACCCCAAAATGGGCCCAAAATTGGGACCCAAAAATGGGTTCAAAACTGCTCCTGCAACCACAGCTGCAAATTCCATGGCGCTAAAGCCACCACAAAAGCACAAGACACACATTTGCAGGACAGAAGAATTTTTGCAGATCTCAAGTTAAAAACCCACTTTGGGGGGCCAGACGTGCGTTGCCAGAAATTCATGGTTGCAGGCACCCCCAATTCTGGTCCCCAAACTTGCTCCATTTCGCACTTTTGGAAACTGCATTGAGAGAACCAACACACACAACACAGAGACACACGATACAGGACAACCGACGACCGCAAGAACCGACGGACCCACAAAGAAACATGCCAAGTCACCAACCGAGTTGAACTAAAGAAAAGCCAAAATGCCAAAAAAACCAATAATGGACCCAAGGCCAACTGAGAACCAAGACCGGTTCAACTTGAATGACAAGAAACAAACCAGGAAACCCAATTGACCAGAAGCTGAGGGACCACCACAACTTACAACAAGGGAAAAGGACAGACTGAGCTCCAAGCACAACAACTTTGGAATCTGTTGGAACAGATCCGACCAGCAACATCTAAGGAACATGAACACAAACAAGCAAAACACAAAAAAAACAACCACAATCAACAGACCCAGAACTCAAGACCGGACACTTGGAAGACCAAGAGGCCAACCGAGATTGACCAGAAGACTGAAGAGAGAAAGATCCAAGCGACTTAAGGCAGCCTCTTCACTCCATCAGCAGCTGAATAGAACAAGGCAAGACTTAGAGTAAGGATAAAAATCAGCACCAACCACCGAAAAAGACACAGAACCAACAGGACCGATCCAGCGACTCTAGAGACTCAAAGACTCCAAAAACAAATTTTTGAACCAAAAGAGTCTTAAGGACCACTTTAATAACCTGACTTTGAACCAAGAAAACACCAAGGGGTGTCTTGCACCATTTCAAGTCAGATCGAGCCCAAAGATGTCTCAACACTACTTGGGCAGAAAAACAAAAAACCCAAAACCGGGTGTCTTAAGACCACTTTGATACTTTGAACCATGGAGTGCTTGGACTTGCAGAGAGATCCAAGAAATTCTGCAGATGTTTTTTGAGCTTGCCAGAAAGTTGCAATAGTTGGTCTCCAAAAGTCACCTTGAAATTATTTATCAAAAAAAGTAAGTTGAAAAAAAAAACAGCACAAGCAAAACCTGACAATCAACAAAAGTAAGACAATCCAAATGTAAAACCATCAAAAACAAGCTCTGACAACAAAACACATGTCAGATGTACTCCGTTGTTTCGCTCGCTTCGCTCGCACTTATTCACATTGTGGAAAGACACTTTGCCTTTTCAAAACGGTTCGGTTTGGGCGTCGCGCGCAACATGGACGTCTCAGCAGTACAGTTGAACTCGTCTCGTCCTGCAGTTGATTTCTGTCCAAACGGCACTGTCAGAGGCTTTCAAAAACGCTTGTTTCAAGCAATTTCAAATCGCGGACTTGGGAGGTCAAGAGGAGCTTTTCACGGAGAAGACGCGCTTCCTGACCATTGTTCAAAGCACTTCTAAACGATGGAGTGTTGGAAGATTTGCCGGATTCCTTGGCCATTGTTTCAAGCTGCTTTTTTCATCATCTTCAAAGATGTTTGAAAGCCACTGGAACGCACCTCTTTTTGCTTTTCAGCAACCGAATCTGAGCATCGAGGTCGTGCCAGGAAAGGGGGCCTGGGGGTCCTAGTTTAGGGGGTCCATTTGGCCCGCAAAATTAACTACACCCCTCCAGCCCCCCACAGTTGCAGCCGCAACCAGCAGCAACAAGGACAACAATTCACGGGCTGCGAACACACAGACCACCTCCACAAGAGATTCTACTTCAGCTCAACACGACAGCTGTCGTTGCAGGCGTGCTGTCTGTGGACAAAAATGGAGCAGCAATTCCCTAAAATTGGGGGGCCCGAAAACAGGGCCCAAAAAAGCTTCCAAAATTGGACCTACTTGTTGGCAGAAAGAGAGGAGGTCTTTTCATTGTTTTACATGCTTGGGTCCCAAATTATGACCCCAAAATGGGCCCAAAATTGGGACCCCAAAAATGGGTTCAAAACTGCTCCTGCAACCACAGCTGCAAATTCCATGGCGCTAAAGCACACACACACAGAGACACACATTTGCAGGACAGAAGAACAAGAATTGCAAAGCTGGTCCGGCAAAAAATTTTTGCAGATCTCAAGTTAAAAACCCACTTTGGGGGGCCAGACGTGCGTTGCCAGAAATTCATGGTTGCAGGCACCCCCAATTCTGGTCCCCAAACTTGCTCCATTTCGTACTTTTGGAGACTGCATTGAGAGAACCAACACACACGACACAGAGACACACGATACAGGACAACCGACGACCGCAAGGACCGACGGACTCACAAAGAAACATGCCAAATCACCAATCGAGTTGAACTAAAGGAAAGCCAAAATGCCAAAAACCATTCAATGGACCCAAGACCGACTGAGGATCAAGACCGATTCAACTCAAATGACAAGAAACAAACCAGGGGACCCAATCGACCAGAAGCTGAGGGACCACCACAACTCACAACAAGGGAAAAGGACAGACTGAGATCAAAGGACTGAATCCAAAGCACAACAACTTCGAATCTGTTTGGAACAGATCCGACCAGCAACATCTAAGGAACATGGACACAAACATGAAACAGACAACAAACGCAGAGAGAGAACAAACAGG